GGCCACATTTTTCCATTTTTGAAGATTTTTTTCAAAAGGATTTTTTTTCTAACCCTGTGTTCAAGCGATAATGCAAATACATGTGATAATATTCCTTAAGAGTAATACAAATATTTTCAAATTCCCCATATAAGGTTTGAAAGCAGATGTTATTGTACCTGCATCTCATGTACATGGCATTGTAAGACTTTCTCTTTGGGAGCAAAGAAAAGCTCTTTGTTTTAGAATAATGAAAGAAATTAAAAACAAGGAGAAAGAAAATTTAGTAAGCTAAAGGATGGGCTATGTATTTTAAAATATTGCGCTATCAAAAAACACAGGCTGGTATTTTTCTTGAGCTCTGTGTTTCCTGTTGTGAGAATAAATCTCACCCAAGAAAAATTCCATACCTACTGTTTTCTGAGGGGTTTAGGTTGAGACCTTTTCAGGCTTAATCAGGCTTTACCAGGAATCTTCATGTATGTACTGGGCCTTACAATTTTTTTCTTTTTTTTCCCAAATGTATCATGTTTGTCCCCAAATTTGTCTTGTTACACGGTCTCCGTAAGTCTCCAGAGGAAAAAAGAAAAAAAAAAAAATTATTTATCTTTTCTGTCCTGTATCATCACCTCATGCCTAGCAATTTTCACACTTGTCACAAGTGTGTATGTTTACAAGTAATATATGATTCGATGTGCTTTTCCTTGTTTTTCTGAACTTCTTTGAATATTCTGTTTTCAGCATATAGAAAATGCAGATACATCAAGTTGATAGTCATGTGAAATTTAACATCATCAGTATGTCTTACCCCAAGATGCTAGCAGTTCTAATTAGATGTGTGCTTAGATGTATGAACATGATCTAAAAGTACAAACGTGCAATATGTGAAATTCTCAAGTATATCAGAATTAAATCTGCTGAATTCAGTAGGATAAAAAAATGATCTTAAGAGAGATTAGATCACAGCTGTGTGATTTTAAGTGTACTCTGTATGTCAGTTAAAACCTAAGTGTTAAAAAGGTTTATTGATTAACATTTGTGCAGTCAACAAGTTGACTTTCTGAGTAGTTTAAGTCTGCAATCACTGTAGGAAATCAATAATTAATCTAAAAAAAAAAAAAGTAGAGAATAAGTTCTCCTGAGTGTAGGTTCAGCCCAGTTTTAATTTGCTCCTGCCTCCTTGGAAAGAGTTACTACAACTGTTATTAACTCGCATTTATTTGAATCTTGAGCTATGATTTATTGGATTATAGTAGTAGCTAATGTTTTTCTTGCTCTTGCTGTTGAGCTCACATAATAGTTCTAAATTCAGATTTAAAAGGTTATTTGGAGATACTCCTACCGAAGTAATTCATGTTTTACCTGTGTAATCAATTTTACCAGGTATGCAGAAAAAAACACATGCAGTGGTGCTAAGCTAATATATATAATGCTATATTTTCTTAAGTGAGATACGGTCAACTACAGCAACAGTTAGCAGTTCAGATATTCTGGATTTAAGTATGTCCATCTGCTGTGATTGCAGGATACTCTGTACGCGTTCTATCAATCTGTTAAAGGTGCTGTCAAATGGCCTTGAGAATATGTTGTGTTCTGATGTCTTTCTAAGGCAAAGCACAGTATGCATAGAATCCAAGGTAGTCATTTATGATTCATCTATCCACAGACAGATGAAGTGTATATTGCAGATGCTGTTTTATTTGTCATATTTATTAAAATGTTGAATTCCTCTCAGTTTTAATGCAGTGAAGTGAAAATAGCCAGAGATGGGAGCTTCTAAGTTAGTATACCAACCTTATGGCAAAGCACCTTCCAGAATACCAAGTCCCATTTGAGTTCTCCTTGGCTTTCCTTTTTTTTAGAAGCAGCAGTGTTAAAAATCCTGATCTACATATTTCTTATTTGTATCTGATGTACTTTAAAACGTAATATTAAATCACTGCAGTATCAGCTACATCCTGTCTTCCTCACTGTCCCTGCTCCCTTCCTCATTTATGTCACCAATAAAAGAAAACATGTAATCCTTCGGTTTTGCTGCCACCATAGTCACGGCCTTGCAGATGCTTTTTGAACAGAAGGTAGATTTATAGTACTAGCAGTTGCTAACTCCTTTGAGGTCAGACTTAAATGGCCTTCCCAATGACCTAATTGTTGACACTTAGCAGATTTTTCCCTTCGCTTGATTTTTTAAATTTGTCCAACTTTCTTCTAATCTTATCACTGGTTCCTATTGTTCTTCTGTGGTGTCATTAACTTTCTTTCATACTTACTGCTGTGGGTTTTATCTGTTTGGGTTTATTTTCTGTTTGCATTTAGAGCAGTGGTGCTTATGCCAAGCCAGCATCATCTTTCCCATTTACAAATGTTGCCTTCTCCAAGTATTGTGCAGTGGAAATTTGTTATGAGGGGAGGAAGTGAGAGAGGGGAAAGGAAAAGCACAGAATGTTTTGTTTTGAAGAAATTATTATCTGAGAATGATGTCTTCTTCAAAACCGACAAATAAGTCTTTTTCTCTGGAGAGGTAAGGCCAGGTTTTGCTCTGGAAAAGACTACTGATTTTACTGAAATGGACACAGATGTGAATGAAGGGTAGCTTAGCTTAGGGGAGGAGCAGCTAATGTGAATCAGAATTGTGTCTGCTGAAGTCACTGGAATATACAGATGTAAGGAATATAAAATTAGATCAAAGATAGATTTGGATGTGTTTCCGGCACAACATATGTGAATTTGAATACAGATGCCAAGGAAGTGGTTAGATATACCCTTTTTGGCCATAGGGAATAATAAAAATAGGCAAATATAACTTTGGGAAAGATACTACAGCCCAGGTTTGTGATTTCAGCTTTACAGAGTTTAGAATGGCTGTTCCTCCAAAATGGAATCCTGAAGTCCACTTCACTCTGAAATCAATAACATAATCAATCATAATAATACCGGAAGAACAAGATGATAAAGAGGAGGAAGTACACCTGGTACAGTTTGCAATAATGAATGTTTTCATAGGTGTTGAAGATGTACACATCATGTACTTTGTGTGCTTTCTGTGGAGCAACGTACAGAGAGAAAGGCTGTTTTCAAAGAACTCACAGAAAATGCAGTTTATGTTAACCACAATGGAAAATCAATTAAGGGGGGTGTTGCCGAAACCCGCTGTACATATTTGCATATCATTATTGTATATTCATACATTTCCTTAAAAATTACAAACCTGCTCCATGATGTCTTTAGTCAGTCTAGCAGAATTCCCTGAGATATGAATTTTTTGGTCTAGGTGATGATGTTTTAAGATCAGCTCAGATATCTTTTAGGTAATTTGTTATGTTTTACTCCATACTGAAGAATCATGGAAATTACAAAAAGATAATGATTAAAAAACCACAAAGATGATAAAGATGTGTAGGGAGAATCTTGCACAGAAAAGCTCATTAGCGGCTTCCCTTTAGGCCAGTTTGATTATGCAGTTGGGCACCATGTAATCAGCCTCTGTCAGTATAAAGATTTGTCTTGCATCATGCTGAAATATACTTTGTCTCATGATTTACTCATGTCTGAAATTGAAACTGCTGGAGAAATGCTTTTTCCTGTGTACACTACTTAGGTTTCAGTGAGGTCAAGGACTCCTGCTACTACAAGATGAGAAGTTTATGTCTGTGACGCTGCCTTTTCTAGGAAACCTCATGGGAGGGTACTCCATAACCCAGTGTTCACCCGCACTGCAGTCTCTGGATCTGCAAAACCCCACCCTACTAAAGAGAGAGCCTGGGACATACCCAAAACAACAGTGGTTTGTAGTCCATTGTATTATGTGTACGGTTTATGCTGAGTACCTGGCAGAATTCATCAAGATATGGAGACCTGATTTTCCCCTACAAGCTGAGAACAGTAATTAATAACCAGAGAATTTTTTCACTTTGTAGCTTCAACACCTAAGATGAGTTGTTCATTCTCACTTATCCTTGGATCCCATGTTATCTCCCAAAGGACCATTAAGATTGCCGCCTATTATTTTTTAATTCATAGGCTTGGCATTTTTATTACTTATTGATTTTTCAGTCTTGGTTTCAACTGAATTTAGTAAAATTTAAGATTTTACTAAACAATTACATCATTGCCTAAAATACGCATCTTTAGAACTTAAGCAATGCAGAATTAGAGGCCACAGGAAAAAAAAAAAAGAATGAAAGAAGTGTGATTGATTCAAAAATAAAGGTGCTTCTAGGATATCAAAATTTTAATGAGGAAATGTGCAGTGCCATAATACTAACTTTTACATTTAACTGATTTATTTAAATATTGTTTTCCATACTGTTCTTTTATCACTTTAGTGGAATAAATGAGGAGTTATACCTTATATAATTTTATATATTAAGGAAGAACTTTACGGAAGAAAAGCCTTATAGAAGTGGTTTTCCGTACATACATCTATTTGAGGATAGTGAGCTTGCAACTTTTATAGCATCATGTATTACAGTAGCTGCTAACCAATAGTTATAATAAAAATACAGATGGCTTGGTTGCCATCTGCGCTTCTTTTGAGATTCTGCAATGAATATGTGATCAACCTTCTGTCACCACTTTTCAAATTAGTTTTTCTCTACCACATGGTTTCTTTGTATCCCTTCTTCCTCTCCTCCCTTCTTTCACTGTTTGGAAACATGCTAACAAACCTGAGGTTTTTATAGTTATCTTGTCTTTAAGCTTTTGTGGACGATAAAGGAAAGTACCTTGGAATTTAATGTGTCTGTACCTTTCACATTCCAAAAAACAGGTTCCCAAAATGGCTGGTTTTGAAAGACTGGAACAGATAATTAATTCATAAGTGGGTGTTAAAGTGGAAACTGTCAGGCCATGGCTTTCCCAGCTTTACCTTAATCATTTGAAAGTGGTTTTCTGTTGTTTTCACTGACTATAATCCCTTAGAGAGAACATAAAACTTGCACCATTCGGGATGGAATTTCACTTCTTTAATGACTTGGGCTCTGCTTTTACTCACTTTCACTCACTGTTGTCATTTCATACAGGAAAAACCATACCAGTGTTCAGAGTGTAATAAGGCTTTCAGTCAGAAGCGTGGCCTAGATGAGCACATGAGAACCCACACCGGAGAGAAGCCATTTCAGTGTGATGTGAGTCTGTCCCTTTGTCTTCTTGACTTCAGTGCAGCACCAGGACTTACTTGCAGTGAGACTGTAGCCTTGCACCTATTGGCTGTGGCATAAAGTTACACTTCACAGAGTCTTTGATTGTCTAACTAAAGAAAAGACCATTCAGGAAATTTTATGTACCTTCTCCACCTGCCAGAAGCTTTGTACACCCTGTTATTTTATGGTTTTGGATCCCGTAAGAGTTATTTTCACCATTAATGCAATTTCGATGTTGCAAGTTACAAATTCATGCAGGTTAGGTTCCTGTACACGTTGTATGACAGATTAATATTTGGGGATTAGTTTATACAGGAAAAGGTATTTAATTCATTACATGTAATCTGAATGCTTCTGATGTTGGATGGCACAAATACAAGTTCGGAATTTCCAGTTTCTGTTTACTGAAATCTGGTCTGATATTTTCAACATCTGTTTTTTTTCTTAATTGTTCATTGAAGAAAGCATGGATGTTGTATATGCTTACTGAAATGCAGCATATTATATAACAGTTCATAGATGACTGTCAAGTCCCTTTCATTCAGCATATCCCACTGTGTATACAACGTATCTCACAACTTTTTGGAAGGTAGGTGGGGAGGCTGAGTGTGCAGAGACTTTTGGAAAAAAATGTTGAGAATTAGCAAAAGCCAGAAGGTAAGTTGTTGCTCAAGGATTTGGAGGGTATCAGGATATAGAACTGGTGCTTTGTTTTGTGATACTAGCTCTTAATGAGCTAGTCACAAGTGAACCACCAGCTTTCAGTTATATCTTAGGTCACTCAGTCTGAACAGCTGTAAATTTGTTCATAAATTTTAATATTAGATGCAAAATTAGAATAACTACTTGGCATGAAACTCACAAGGGTCTGTTAATTGATCTTTTACTAAATAATCTGGTGGCATTTCATGAAGAATAAAATGTATGAAAAATTTTGCCTGCAGTATTTTGCTGATGTCTGCAAGTCAGGGGATTTTCTGTATTCTTTTGGGATAATCTCAGCCTGGCTCTTGGTTGGACCCTGAGGATTTTTCTAATTCCAAATCACTGTCAGTAACTTTTTCAGACTTCTGTACTGTGTATTAGCTGTTGGCCAGTTTGCAGTGTAAATGCAATTTTTCTCACACTGTAGATCCGAAATTCACTGGTCTTGGATTTATAGTGTGCTTTTTGAGATCAGTTTGGGCTGATGGTTCTATTTTATTCTTTTTTTTTTTCTTTAATCGAAAATAGGAGCGATATGAAAACATACTTTTCTGCTTCAACTATTCCTTCACTTTTCCTCACTATTAGATATAGAACTGTATTTTCCTAACCATAGTATGTCTAGAAACAGCTATAATCTGTATCTAAACCTAGTCCTTCTCTGAGAATTTTTATATATATGCCTTCATTTACTAGAGATTATTTTAATATTTTAAATTAAATTACTGCCATGTTTCACAAAAAATTACGCTTTAGCACTAGTTTTCTGCCAGCTGCACATTGCAGAGATTGATGACTTTTGGGGGTTTGGACATAAACAGCAGATGCTTCTACAATTCATTCATCCCTTTTCAGTTGTCCAGGTGCCTGTCATGGTGTGCTGCTTAATACACACTTTGAGAGTGTCGAAAGTTTTGTTTTCAATAGTTACTCCTTATTTCATGTGTACTCCAGTTACACAGGTGCTGGGGACATAGAAAATGTTATGCAGAAAAGACCATTACTCCAGAGCTCTCACATTGCATGTTACCAGATGTTTCAGCAGAAGTTACAGGAAAACCAGTAGTGGGCAGTTATAGAAAAATGTACCTATGGGAGACATTTGTTGTTGGCTCCCCAGTACTTTTTACCCTCAGATATTCTCACCTACAATTTTTTGTCCTGCTACAGATAGCTGTAGGTGTGCTCATTATTTTTGTTATTATGACTTGAGTGGTAATTTATGGCACAACTTCCACAAATTCTTAACTGTGGATTTTGGGAAGGATAGTGTATGTCAGGTTACTGTAATGGAATTTCAATACCTGTCTTTTAGTTCTTTCATTAACAGAAGCGGTTAATAGCTATTCCATTCATTGGTCTCTGTACATGTGCCATGTTCCTTCTTAGTCAACTCCTGTGAAGTTTTCTCTCTTTCCAGCACTTCCCATGATTTTTTTCCCATGTTCATAATAATTTTTGTTACTATTTTCTGGATTTTTTTTCCCTGTTCCCATTGGATGGTTTAAGGGAGTAGTAATATTACTGCATAGCCTTACCCATTAAAGTAATTGGCAAAGTCCGTAAGACAATGCCCAGACCTACTAAGAATCCTTTAAAGGTGAAAAACAGGCTGTGTTTTTATTTATTAGCATATCCATAACTGTAATCATACATGAAGCCATCCTGAAAGACAGAAGTTGTAGGAGAGTTGTTTGCTCCTGTTTCCTACCTGGCATTAGAAGCAGTCATAGAAGCTATTCAGCTCTCTAAGTATATATATACATTTAACAAATTACAGATTGATAACATATTAAAGAACATTTTCTGTCAGAGTTTTCTTTGTTTCTTAGTACATTTGCATTTACAAACAGGAATTGCTTTCAATGCCAAAGAACTGAAAAAGGAAATGTTTGGCTATTGAAAAAAAAAAACAAAACTGTTTGGTGAAGGTGCTACAGTTTATTTTTGTGTTTATTTCTGTCATCAAAAGCATTTTCAGAACTCAAGGACTCAATGCTCACATATCTACTGATGATAGCAGAAATTGAATATTCCTATTTTAAGGTGAAAATTCTAATATTTATCACAAAGGAAAGTGAAAATAACTGAGGTATGAAAATAGAAATATTTTTTTTTCCCCCTAATAAATCTGAAGACCAGCCTATTTTTAACTGGAAGGCTAACTGAACTTCAGTTGCCTCAGAGACCACAGATCATTCTTTCAGGGCAGAAAGGTCAGGGTACTGCCTGTCCTGGTTTCTTTCCAGTACAGTGTTTCCCTCCACTCTGCCTTTAGTTGACCCTACACTTACTTTCAAATGTCAGTCTCTTCAATCCTCCCTACTTGATCAGAACTTTGATCATTTTGAAGAGATTGATTAGATTTCAGGTGCACATTAGCAGGCATGGTTGTAAATCTCTAAAATGTCAGTCTTACTTATAAACTTGAAATCTGAAGCAGACTCTTAAAAAAATCCCAGAAACCAAAACTTTTGTGCATAAGTATAGCACAAGATGTATTATAGCATATGATCCTGTGCTTTCCATGTTCTTTTTGAAGAAGTTAGGTAGTAGAACATGCTAGAGCCCTGAAGGAACATCAGGACACATTATACTAGTTACATGAGCATTGTAAGTGAAAAAAATGTAGTTTAGGACTCTGTTAGAAACTGTTTACTTTAAAAATTAAGAAAGGTGTGTGAGATACAGAGATCACATATGTACCTTGTATGTGTGTATATCCTTGATTGGCTTCCTGGCTTCCAAGAAACATGTGTTTACAAGTATATGATACTTCTAACACGTTGAGTCTTGTGAGCAAGCATGTTGTTACAATTAGATAAATATTATGAGTTCACTTTTGGTGCTGTGTGGAAGAGGAACAGAAAATGATATTTGGCAAAAGCAGTATTAAGACCTCACCAGTGGATGCTGTAGGTGATATTCCTCATCACATAACAAAAGGGTGACTTGCTTGGGTCTGAAAGAGGTTGGAGAGTTACATTTGCTATATAAAAGTACTTGATCGTGTGATAAATTCAAAACTATTTGATTGCAACCGCACATGCAGTGTTCTTGTTTGGGAAAAATTATTTTGGATACAAGTGATGTTTTTAGCATGGCAGAGTCTTCTATAATAATTATTAACCTTTCTTGCAGTCCTCAAGAGCTTCTTTTTTTCTCACTCCTCCCTCCTTGTAGCTGAGCAAGTTGAACTGATTTTTTAGGAACATGCAGATGTCATTCTGGAAGTCAGGAAGGAAATACTTCATATGAAGCTGAATTACTGCATCCCAGATAGAATAATAGGTTAAAAAAAACCCAACTGCGAACCAAACCCACACACAATACAATATAACTGGGACACCTATTGTGTTGATATACAGATAGACTACATCTTTATCCTTTACCAGCCCCCATGCTTGTGGTACCAGTGTTATTGTATGACACTGAAATATACCAGATAGAGTAAGGTGCTTTCTGAAGCATTTATTCTTCCAAAGACCAGCTCATTTATTAAGTATTGCAGTTCTTTGTGGCCGTGGCCTCAGTGATAGAACATAAGGGGTTCTATACATGCTTGAAATTTTAAGGCTTCTTTTTTCTGTCTTGTCTTCACTGCCTTAGGTTTGTGATCTGTCCTTCAGCCTGAAGAAGATGCTGATCCGACACAAGCTGACTCACAACCCCAATCGACCGATGGCAGAATGCCAGCTTTGCCACAAGAAATTTACTAGAAATGACTACCTCAAAGTGCACATGGAAAATGTCCATGGTGAAACCGACAGCTGATTGTGGCATATGTGAGAGGAAAGGATGTCATGCTCTGAAATGCTTCATTTGCGTGTATACAAACTCCAGATTTACCACCTGGCTTGTAAGCATAGTCAAGAGAAATAATGGTTATGTGTTCACAAATTATTTTTCCTACTTTTTTTTTTTAATCTACTACTAGGATAAAAACCAAAGAAAGACATTTACCTGAAGTAAAACATAGCTTGAAAATAAAAAGATGAAGATTAAAGAACTTTGGGAAAATTTTATCCTCAGAAAAATGAAACTAAAAAAAAAAGCTGTAAGCACACTTCACCTTCTCAATTACAGCCTTAGAAACCTAGATATTAGTACTGTTACCTGGAAATACATTTGGAACTGAACCCTGGCTGCAACTGTATTTCTGTATCTTAAGTTTCAAGAGTCCATTAAAATCCTTTAATTTGAAACCATGCAGAATTTGTCATTCTGATTGACTGCTGATTCCATCCAGGCATATGTTATCCAGATCTTAATTCTTCACTTTGTTGTAACATGATTGTGTCTTGCTTTATTTCCAGCTTTCTCATTACTACATGAAGCTCGTTAACTTGAGCTGGTTCTTGAGATGCCAAATGTACAGGTACAGAAACAATGGAAATCTGTCCCATTAAGTATTTTTGTATGAGCATTAAGAAGGATTTATTCTGGTTACATGAGACAAGACTGAAGTGAAAACTTTGAGCAATTTATTTTAAGTACTGTATTCATACTCATCATTGTGACTGGTAAGGGAACTGGAAAGACAGCTGAATAGTGTGGCTTGAGCAGCTACAATTACCTAATTAACATGTATTTGGTTTCTTGGTGAACAGCTGGTTCCCAGTGTTCCTTCCTGTTGAATCACATGCCCCGGATTTCTACATCCCATTTAACTACTTTTCTTCTCTTAATTGTGCTAATGAACACTGGGAAAAATACCGCTTTACACCAAAGTAGCAATCAAATTCTTCATGTTATCAGAGTGAGCTGTTTGCTGCAGTAAAACTCTTGGAAGAGTTCCCACAGGCCCTCTTGTACTACAGCTAGATTACCAAGACATTTTTATCGACAAGGACAGTAAAACTGTTAAGTTCTGAGTGTGGTTGCATGTGAAATTCCTCAGTTATCAGTAGTTAACATTAAGGTTCTGTCATGTCATAAGTAAACTGTTCATATACATTCTGGACCTGTCAAGGTCTTGTCAAATGAACTTGAATTGGGACGTCTTCAAGTTTTCATGAGAAAAGAATTCAGCTTCCTTATCAACTGCAGTATGCAGAATTATGCTGAAGTGAACACCATAATTCTTTTATCTTTTTTCTCATGGTAGACTCTACTCAAATCTGTTTATCACCTGGTTGTTTTTCTACTTGAGCAAAAAAGAAATAGCAGTAGCAGTATTGCTAGCAGTGGAAATCACTAGCAATAGAAAATGTTAGTATATTTAGTGATTACCAATTCCTTCCTTCTCTACTGATGGTTTGGATTCCACTCTTCTGCACAGACATCTATACTTTACATGTTCAATTTCGAGACCCAGCACTGGACCCCAATAGTAGTCTTTGCCAAAGTCATTGTTTTTCTCCAGAAATAAGCAGAAGACACTTTTCGTTTTTCTTACAAGCTGAAGAAGGCTTGCCACTTAATAGAGGTAATTATATTTATAGGGTCTGTATCAGAAGGTCTTAGTTTTCGCTGTGTTTTGTTATGAGACTTTTTGTCTTCAGCCTCTTTTCTTTTGTAAGCCTATAATGTTCCATGACAACAAACTAACAAGTTTATAGGTTTCTTCCCATTTACAAAGAAGTTGTACACTCAGCTTTCCAGGTTCCCTTTCCTAATGAAGCCAGGTGACTTCCTACTAGCAATTATAACAGAGTTGATCAGGGACAAACAGGAACTATCACTGCTTTCAGCTACAGAAAGCTTTGAAGTGATATCTTCCTGTTTATTTCAAAGGTCCTTGTTTCAGTTTATGTAGGACTAGTTAGGCTTGAATGAGCCACTTGCAAGGTTTCTGCAGGCAAAGGGGTAAGTTTCAGCTCTATCTGCAGATTCGAAATTGGAATCCAGTGTCTCCTAAGTTGGTCTGAGTTGGAAAAAGAATAAAGGGTAGTAAAGCAACAGACATAAGGTGTGGACAATAATGTAATTGTACTTTAGTACACCACAGCAGTTACAGTGCATAAATCCATATGAGGATCCTGGAGAAGACCTGTATACGGAGAACCCAACTTCATATAGTTTTGTTCTGAAATGTGTTGGTTCAGTATGGAAGAAGTGCCTTAGTTGTTACACTGGCATGTGAAAGTAAAGTTTATCACTACCTGTATGTTTTATGTAATTTTTTATTATGTTGTAGCTGCTGTGGTGTTACATAATACCGTTTATGCTCTTGTTAATTTTAATTAAATATAGAACTTATTTTCCTATAATTTCAGTAGTTATTTGCAGTATTAGTTTTGAGGGAAACTGCATGGTTGATGCTTCATGATTTATAATTATTCAGTAACACTTGAATATTTTACTCATTCGGTTTGCATCTTGAAATGCATATACTTTTCTAAATTATTTAGGATTCCTGCAGATTTTATGTAATTATGAGTATTTCACTTCTTTGTGACAACCACCTATGTGTGAAAGCATACTAAGTTGTCTTCATGCCCTTTTTGTTTCCTGAGAGATATGTAAAACTTGGAGTCTTTGCCAGTTCCATACAAATCATTTGTTCATATAAATAAAATATATTGTATGTGTGCAAGACAAATATAGTAGAAATAGGCATTATAAAGCTGAGTAAAGAATACTTCCTCTCCTTATTAGGAGAGCTTTTGTTACAGAGTTTGTCAGACTAGTGTATTTCTAAGTCCAGAGAACTTTAACTTACTGCTACAGTTGTTATAAAAATTAAATTAATACAATTTTAAGTGTTCAGGTAGCAAAATCAATCCATACCAATGCATGTGTTTTAGTTGTAGTATTCTTAATTATCTGAAAGGAGAAATAGTTCAGCAACTTTTTTTTACATGTATGGGGTGAGACAGCATTGCAAAGGTGATTTTTTGTTTGTTTGTTTGTCTGCCATTTTGACATCAGTGGAAGCCAAGAGTTTAGTGTTAGAAAAACTGAGATCACATTTTTTTATATTTTTCTTCCTTTATATTTCTTATTTTTCATTCTTTCATTTGGTCAGTGTGAGCTAAGGCACAGAAGAAAACAACAAACCTGCAAACAAAAAAGTGAAGATTTTTTCTGAGCATTTTGAGAGATGATGCTGTTAAAAACGAAGAAAATCCTTGGGGGGAGAGGGAGGGGTGGGGGTTATTGAACATGTATTCTACATAGGGTTTAGAGACCTTTGCTGCAAAATTGTGTTACATGTTTAGGATTAATAACTGTCTGAGAAAAATAGCTAGCTGTTGAAAGTGAGTACATGAAGAGGAGAATGTACTTTTTTTTTTCTTCTTAATAATTTACAGTATAGGTATTAAGTTTAAGCATGCTGTGTATAATCAATAGCAGTAGTTAACTAACTGAAGTATTGATCTTGATAATGGCTTCAATAGAACAAGGAATAGACAGGATCAACATGCGAGTGAAACACCTTCATGGGAAACACAGGAAGTAAGTGCAGGAGATTGAAGGCCAGCTGCAGGTGATGACTCTTCGACTGTGTCCTCCAGGAACTTTCCCTTTGGGTTAAAGTGGCTGCAGACCTGCCTGCTCTTCTGCAGGTCCAGCACCTGGCTCAGCAGCTACAGGTGTTTCCATGTCAAGAAATGCCTAGTTCTTTGCATGAGGTGCTTGAACTTACTGCAGTCAGAGTTAATATGACTTAGATTCACATAGATTTATGTTGCTGAGCTATATAATTGATTTTATATGTAATGAAATATATTTCTATTTGGTTATAGTTTTTTGTGGGTTTTTTTCAGCAAAAATGAACAAACAAAACCAACAATAAACACATAAACAGTAAAAAAAAACAAACTTTCTTCTTTAAGTGGGAATTTCCATTGACAGTCTCCCAATTGGCATAACATTTGGAAAAGATAGAGAGCATTCCCTTCACGTGATTTTGAGCAATGAGAATTTGAAACCCATTGGTTTAAAGGTAATTGTTAATATTTTAGTGTGTGTATATTTGTTTTGCTTTACTGTCTACCATGGCAAATGGACAAAATTGATCGTTAATGAAAATACTGAGTTTTACATGGTAAATTGTGCCATGCAGAATAACATGAAAAGCTAGAGATAATCCTGAAATAACATGCAATCACTACAGTTTTAGAAGGCTGTGGTTATTTTTTGCCCCTTCTACATTGCAGGATTTTCTGCAGATCATAACATTCAATTTGTTCTCTTTATTTTTCCAAGGCAGTTGGCCCCCTCTTGGAGAGAGCTCCATCTCTGACGTTAAGAACAACAGCAGTCTTGCTAGTTCCTTTTGCTTACTATTCTGATCAGATATCTGGCCAAAAGCTGACACATATCATTAATATGATAAATATCTTTTACACTTGCTAATGTTATAGTTCTGTTTAGTCTATATGATTGTGAGGGATTTGATGCATCTTTTCACTTCCACCAGCAAGTCTCAATTAGAAATCAGAAAAAGGAGGAAATAGTGTAAATTAACATGGTGCTGGGCATTTTATGTTGTTATACTTGAATGTACAGACATAGTTTAGTGAGAGCAATTTGTATATTCTGTGAGTGAATTTATGATGTTAATTATGCTTTTGATCTGTGCTTTACATGGCAACATTCCATTCTCTGCATTTATATTTATATGTACCAATACCATTATTCTTCAAAGACCTCTGACTAAGGTTTATTTTAATTTTTCAGTTTAAAAGACAAAGTGTAATAGTAACTCTAAAGCATCACTTTTGGAGGTGGAGGAGCTCAGTGTGCTGTTGTCAGTTTATGATCAAGTAATAATAAAATGTTCTAAGTTCAGTTACATACATGTTGCGCACAGCTATAGCAATTCCCTTCACACTGAGATTTGAAATCTGCCCATTTGTTTTTTTAGGCTAGTATTAGCTCAGAATATGATAGTACTTCCAGCTGTAAAGCTGTAATCTTGGACATGTTTGAATTCTGACAGCTTAGTTTTATGTCTTGTACATATTGTGGCACATCAAGAAGATGGAATAATTTAGGATGTGCAGTAATGGCTTAAAATTGTCACTGATAAACAGTTTCCTTGAGCTGGGAAATGTTTTGTTGAGCAGTTCAACCTGGGACTGCCAGTT